GGCCTGCTTGCTTTTTAACTTTTATGTCCTTTTAAAAGAACTTAACTAGGAGACAACTTCGGGTAAACATGCTTGCTATGCAAGCTGACAACCTCAACTAAATTCCCAGGAGCCCACATAAGAAAACCTGATGTTGTCCAGCTATAATTGAAGCACTCCTACCTCCACATGGGAGGTGGAGACAGGAGAACAACAGGCTGGCCAGTTAAGTAGCACCACAAACACAAGAAACCCTTTCTCCACAAGGGTTTTGATTCCAAGGGAGACTGGACTCAAAAAAAAAAAAAAAAAAAAAAAGTTGTTCTTTAGCTGGGCGTCGGTGGCGCACGCCTTTAATCCCAGCACTCAGGAGACAGAGGAAGGGGGGTCTCTGTGAGGTCCAGGCCAGCCTGGTCTCCAGAGCGAGTGCTAGGAAAGGCTCCAAAGCTACACAGAGAAAACCTGTCTCGAAAAAACAAAAAAAAAGTTGTTCTTTGATCTACACACACACACACACACACACACACACACACACACACACACACACACACACGTGTGCAGGTACACACACAAGCACACACGAGGATGGGAGGGAGGAAGAAGACTAATAGTAAGTAGCCAGGCGTGGCAAGCCACACCTTTAATCCCAACACTAGGAACCAGTGGCAGGCATATCTCTGTGAGTTCAAGGCCAGCCAGGCAGATCTACATAGCAAGACCCTGTTCTCAAAAAAAAAAAAAGGCAAACGTGACATCATGATGTATGTACATATTTGTGTGTGCAACTATGTGTGGAGGCCAGCAAGTGTCCTCAATCACGCTGACCTCCCACCCTTGTCCTCTAGCTCCCAGATACACCAGTCTATGCTTCCAGGGTGCTGGGATTAAAGGTGTACTCTATCAAATCCAGCAAGCTCCAACTTATTTTTTGAGACAGAAGTCTCTAGCTGAATCAGGAGCTCACCAGTTTGGCTAGACAGACTGATTATATGTCCCACAGATACTCCTGTCCTGCTCCCAGAGTTACTGATGTGTGCAACTGATGGATGCAGGGGACCCGAACTCAAGTCCTCATGCTTGCACATCAGGCACTTTATGAGCAGAGCCATCTCCCCAGCCTCTATTCTCCTGCTTTTTAAGACAGGCTGGCCTTGAACTCTCTGTACAGCTGTGGATGACCTTAAACTCCTGATTCATCTGCCTCCCCTCCCAGAGTATTGTAGGTGTATACCACCATCATGCCCTGCTGTGCTGGGAATTGAACTCCAGGCCTAGGACATGCTAGGCAAGCACTCCACCAATTGAGCAACATCCCCACTCTGCTCCTTGGAGGCACACTTCATTCTTTTTGTTCATTCAGAAAACATTTGAGGGAGTCAGACACTGTTCTAGGAATACAAGATTATTCACTAAACCAGCAAGCCCCTGTTGTCTAGTATGCACTGTGTTATACAGCAGATGCTATGGAAGAAAGCAGGGTGGGAAGGGGACTTCAGGACCACTGGCTGTTGGGCACTGGACTTGGGTAGGGCTTTCTGAGAATTTGAGACTTGAATAGACTTAAGGAAGTGAGGGAGGTGGCAAATGGCTGCAGTAAATGTCAGGTGGAGGGCACAGTGGAGCAGAGGCCTAAAGAAGGCAGGGTGGGTGAATCAGGGAACAGCCTGAAGGTGTCAGGGGAAGGGTCAAACCATGCTGGCCTGGAAGGACCCTTGAGAACACTGACCTTTACTTTGAGTGCCAGGGGGATATTCCAGGGCCTTGAGCCAGAAGAAGGTAAAGTTGAACTCCCAGGCTACTGAGTTGAGAATTGCTTACTTGATCCACTGTGTTAGTTAGCTTTCTTTAAAATATGTATTTATTGTTATTATTGGTTGTTGGGTTTTATTGTGTTTTGTTTGTTTTAAGACAGGGTCTCCTGGCTGTTCTGTCCTAGAATTCAGTATATAGCATTAGATTAAAAAGAAAAAAAAAAAGGGAATCAAAGATGAAAGGAAAGGATCTGGATTCCCACATCCAATGAATGAAATATAAGAGGAAGAGACACCTTGGTGGCAGGCAGGGTCAGGAAATAGGTGGTGAAGAGGATAGGATGTGGGGAGAAGTGTTAACCAAAGACTGGGGGTTGAAAGGAGTCAAGTATTCAGTTTCAGAATGCACACTCCAGTGGAGGCTGAGTCACAGAAGAAACTGCCCAGAATATGTGGACAAAAGTAAAAAGGAAAAGAAATATGTCAAGTGGTTTTATTTATTTACATTTTAGGGAGAGGAAAAAATGAAGTGATATAAGGCCTAGGGGTAACTAGCATCAAGAGAATTCATCCATTCAGCCCTTGGTAGACAATAAGTCTTCCCATTGCACCACAATTTGGACAATGTGAGAAGCTGATGGATGGCATATCCACCACATTCTTTCCTACCCCAGAACCAAAAAGGCCATGCAGAAGTGTCAGTACACTGTTGATTACACCATCTGAAGCCAGAGAAAGCAATTCCCCACTCTACAGTAACCTGCCCCTCTGTACAAAAACCTTCATGCCCCTTACCCAGAACCAACCCTAAATCCTTGCCAGCTAGGATGAAAATCCCAATATCTAAAGAGACAGGGAAAGGCTTCTTCTCACAAGACTGATGATCATGGCACCTGACTTTACCTCCAACAACACACATGCTACCCAAAAAAGACAAACATGGGCAAGGGGAGCTTCCCTTCCACCAGCCACAGAGCCTGTAACTCCAGCTCCAGGCAAACCAACACCCTCTTCTGGCCCCTGAAGGGACCTGCACACACACATCTATTTACACAGAAACACACACCCAAACACACACACACACACACACACACACACACACACCTTTTTAAAAGATGTATGAGAACGCATGTATACCAAGATAAGAGAATATTAATCCCAATTGGAGAAAAAACTCCAATACTTAGCCTCTAAGGAAAAGTGGCTTGTTGTAAATCAGGCCCTTGAGACTTGTGTCATTTAGCTGCTCCCCACAGTTGTTAGGATACTTATTAAATGTTGAATAATTAATAACAGTGCCTTCAAGACTCTCTTAAAGAAAAGATCCTGTGGAGGAAACAGTCCATAATTAGACATGGGCCTCACTTCCTGCCAATCAGTCAGATCTTAGAGGGACAGAGAACTTACCATCCCAGAGTACTTATTAGTAAAATGACTGCACTTCTGGATTAACTATCCAAGAGTGGAGCATAAGTAAATATTTAAAAAGCTGTATGTGAAGCAAGGGATTTAGCTCAGTGGTAGAGCACTTGCCAACACACACACACTGTAGAAGCCAGGCTCCAAGATAGTCACAATGATCTCCATTTCCTAGTATTCTCTAGGATTCACACTCTCCCCATGTACCAGTGTCCCTCTGTGACCAATAGAGTACAGCAGAGGTATGTCACTTTGGTGATTGGTTTATAGAGGGCTGGTTGGAGTCCTGGGCTGGCTTGAATCACTTTCTCCAGCAGAAACCAGTTACTATGTTGTAGCCTATGAAGAACCACATGAGTATGCCTAGAATCCAGGTTAGACCCTCCCAATCCAGTCTTCAGATGATGGCAGCCTCCTAAAGGTTTGACGCAGAACTACCCAGGTTCCTGACCCATAGACAATATTTTTGGGTGCTAAATTCTGGGGTAATTTGTTACACAGGAGTAAGAAAATAACTCCATTTCCTACACTGAACCAAGAAAACAATTAAAGGCTTTAGTTCCCTTTCAACATCCACCAAAAATCAAATTTTCTGCTAATGAGAAAAAACAAATTATCATTCAGGCATTCAACAATCGCTTTTTAAGTATCAAACATAAGCAAAGGCTTTGAAGCTTCCTATGTTTTCATATAATCTAAAATCCATAAGAACAATAACCACATGCATGCATGTAAGAACACATTTTGAGCTGTTCAATCCACCAATTTCATTAGCTTATGCTTTACAAACGTATATCACTCCCTGGTCATTCTGAAGGCTAGAAGCTATCAAGTGACACTCTCCCATGGGCATTGTTGTTACCCTTGCATATGCCCTCCCATTTAAGAGAAGAAGAAAAGTTAAGTCTCTCAATTCCATTCATAGTGAGGAAAGAAGGAATTCGTTTAGTATTTTAGCAGGAGGAAGAAACCCTGACCTCAAGTGCTAAGAACAACTGGAATGTCTATAACTCATGACTAAGTGGCGACAGGAGTGCAGATCCACTGCTCAAATCCTGGTCACAGCTGAAATGGCGATGGGGGCGGGGGAGATGCTGCCTCTTCCTCCTCACTGGACTTTGCTGTCTCTCAAAGCAGCGGGGTAGTGTAGATCTACAACCAAAAGCCTCCCTATGCACAAAGAAGGTCAAAGGGCGAGCTTGCTTTCTGTCAACCACAAAACCTGCCCCTGCCAAACCTAATCAATGTGGTCCGCTAAAGGAGGTGAATGAAGCCCTAGACAGAAAACCACAGCAAGACTCAGCTCCCGCCGCCACTGAGGTCGGAGTCAGGTGACTCCTGGGGCAAACAGCAAACCTAAACAAAGATCACTCCCCACATGACCGACTGGGGAGAAGAAGAGCAAGGCTGCTCAGTCCCACCCCGGAAAGCCATTAGCCATTAACTATTGCTTCTTTGCAGTACGGCGAAACTGGAGGCGCCAACAAGTTATTCCTATTCCGCAGTCCTCTTCAAGGAATGAACCTAGAGGGCGAAGGACCCCCTTCCAGGACACAAGAGCCAAGCACCGCAGCACTAGCTCCGGGCCCCCACATGCATGCTGCAACCTGAACCCCTCCCCACCAGCTGTCACCCGCTCTCTGGGCCAGTCTCAGCCAGAGAAGCACATGCCCTCCGGCCACTCAGCCTGCAGCTGCGACCCCGCGGGGACAACGACAAGAGCTCTAGGGACCAGAGCACGCCTGATCCCCGGAAAATGGGAACTAGGGTGAGAGCGGCCCGGTGTCAGGAGTAGCCCTAGATCCATCATCCTCTCTCCGCCCCACGAGTCCCCAGACCCGAGCACCCCACCTTGTCACCGAAGCTGCGGGCCATCAGTAGGTCCGGGCTGGGCGTGCTGTCGCCTCCCATGGCCTCCTCGCTGCTGGAGCCGGCCAGCGGGGGGGGGCGGGTGCGGTGGGGGGGGGGGGCCGGGGGGG